ATTTTCTTTGGGGCTAATTTTTTTATTATAGCCAGGGGCTCAAAAGCTAGAAGTGGCCAGTGCCTCTATGGATCTCTGAGAGAGTCTGCTGATAAATTAGACAAAATTTATCACATGTACTTCACGCATTATTCAAATTGAACACTCAACGACATACAAAAAAATTTCAGATCTCGGTATCGGCTTCCAAACAAAAGGAAAACTCACTCCACTTAAAATATTAAAAACAAACGTTAGTGAGTTCTACCAGAGTTTCACGCCTCGAGGCAATAATATTTTATGTTTATACACTGAGGTAATTCGTGCGTTAAAAGAATGGGATAGCGACACTTCTGGAAATGTAATTGTTTCAGAATATAAGTATATGCCCCCCTCCCACCAGTGGCATGTCTGCGGACTTACAACGCTAGAATCAGGGTTTTGATACCCGTGGTGGGCAGGGCACAGATAGCCTATTGTGTAGCTTTGTGCTTATTTACAAACAATATATATAAAATTTTGATTCCTTTTCCTTCGCCTACTTTTTCGTATGATCGTCCCCCGGCATGTCTACGAACTTACAACGCTAAAATCTACGGTGGACATAACAGATAGCCCAATTTGGCTACGACAACAAAACTCGCATGATCTAACAATCCGCAGTCTTCCCGAAAACATTTATATATGAACATGATGATCATTTATAATTACAGTTAAACGGTTTTATTTCTACACTTTAAAGATATAAATACTTCTTGAATAAAACTGACCCACGTATATCAATGTCACAAGAATGATGGGTCATGTGTATCGAGCCAAGCTTTCACTGTACTCGGTATACGAGTACGAGCTCTTCGCCAAAACAAATGAAACCAGTCGTTACTTATTTAACATTTTGAAGAGGTCTCGTGAGCAAAGCCAAACAGTTATAAAAAAACAACAAAATTTTTGATTTGTTTGTTTGTAATTAAGCACAAAGCTACACAGTGGGCTATCTATGCTCTACCTACCATGGGTATCGAGATCCGGTTTCTAGCGTTGTAAGTCCGCAGACATACCGCTGTGCCAAAATTTTTGGATACCCAAATAAAAGTTGCTATATAGTAATGGAATAAAGTATTGGATAGATACAAGAAAGGCCCGGTATGGCCAGGTGGTTAAGGCACTCGACTCGCAATCTGAGGGTCACGGGTTCGAATCCCTGTCACACCAAACATGCTCGCCCTTTCAGCCGTGGGGGCGTTATAATGTGACGGTCAATCCCACTATTCGTTGGTAAAAGAGTAGCCCAAGAGTTGGCGGTGATGACTAGCTGCCTTTCCTCTAGTCTTACACTGCTAAATTAGGGACAAACAGATACAAGAGTACTTTTAAATATACGCATAGAGAAAATACGGAAAAGTTTGAGATACATTTATAAACTAGAAATAATCTGATGGAGATGGCTTAAGTGTGTGCTCTGAGGAAAATGCAGATTTTTCTTTCTTTATGTGGTATATATATATATATATATATATATTACGTTTTGG